GCTGCGGTAGAGCTTACCCTGCAGGCAAGATGGGGGTATCCTCAGGCCAGGGTGTCCTGGGCCACCCCTGTGGACAGCTGCGTCTTGGTATATATGTGGTCAAGAATGTGAGTGCACAGGGCTTCCCAGGTGGCTCAGTGGTAAAGACTCTGCCTGCCAATGCAGGAGACATGGGTTCGATCCCTGATCTGGGAAGACCCCACATGCCTCAGAGCAACTAAGCCCGTGCTCCGCAACTATTGAGCCTGTGCTCTAGAGCCTGGGAGCTGCAACTACTGAAGCCCAAGAGCCTTAGAGCCCATGCTCCACAACAAGAGAAGCCACCGTAATGAGAAGCCCAAGTATCACAGAGAGCAGCCCCCACTTACCGAAACTAGAAAAATGCCCACACAGCAACGAAGACCCAGTACAGCCAAAAATAAATGAATAAAATTATTTTTAAAAAAGAAAAAGAATGTGAGTGCACAGAGGCATGGGGGTAGGGGTGGAACTGTGTCACACGGGAGCGGAGGGACACACAGAAAGAGAGCCACAGCGGTTGAGGAATTCTCTTGGGTCTACCACCCAGACGTGGGTACTGAGGTCCTGGGCCATGCCGTCTAGCAAACATGGTGGGCATGTGCTCTGGTGAAGGGGTCCACCTTTCTAATCAGAAATGCACACAAATCCAGGAGCAGGGTATGGTGATGGTGAATGGAATTTTACCTTCCCCCAACGAAGGTGAAGGATTGTCTGGGCCGACGGAAGGGCCCGGTGTGTGTGCACTAGAGGCATAGGTTCTGGACACCCGGTTACCTGGTCAGTGGCCAACTTCAGAAAGTAATTGACCAGCTCCTTTGCGTTGTACTCCGGGCTGCGCATGTCCTCCACAAAGGGCTTGTCGGCACACAGCATGTCCCAGCACAGACCTTCCGGCGGGTTGTACATGTTGGGGAGCACACCTGCGAACCACATGAGGCTCAGGGTGTGGTCATGGCCCCGAGACCTGCCAGGCCTCACCAGGGATGGATTTCAGAATTTGCCGGGCCCAGTGCAAACTGCAAATTGTGGGCCCAGGTTCATAAACTACTAAGAACTTCAAGACAATGATAGCAGACTATAAACCAAGCCCTGGGCCCTTCTGAGCACGGGGGCAGCCCTCTTTCTACTCTACCGCCTTACTGGTGAAGAGGTCGGCGGTGGGAGGCTTCAGGCTGGCGCTGGCCCGCCACACCTGCTCCATCTGCAGTGCCTCTTCCCGCACCCTCTTGTCTTGATAATCCAGGCGTCCAAAGAAGAAGCCGTCAAAACCCATCTGGAGATGGGGCAGGGTGAAGAGCAGGATGGGAGAACAAGAGAGGGCAGGATGAATAAGGGACCAGTCTTCTCATCACCAACCACCAACCTCTCAAGCACAGGGAGAAAAACCAAATCAAAGACCAGGGAGGCCCTCCGGTTCATTTCAAAGGTTGGGGAAGGTCAGAAGACCCACAGGAGCGCCGGGAAGGAGCAAGTCCAACGCTACAACCCACCTCCACGTTCCCCAGCTCTAGGAGGCCTCCCCCTTTCCGCAGACTAGCAAGGGAAGGGGCATGGTCATGGCACAGGTAATGAAGCTTGCTGAAAAACCTCAGGCCCTCCCCAGCCGCCCAACTTGGCCAAGAGCCAGGATCAGAGCAAAATGGGTGAAATAAGGGGAGAGGGAAGAATCAGCTGGACAAGGGAGGCCGGGGTGTATGGGGATAGGTGATGAGGGTCAACCTAGGCTAGGACAGAGCAGAGCCAAGGCCAGAGCAAAAAAAGAATGGGATTCACAGGTCACCCAAGAGGCAGGGTCTTAAGCGGCGAGAGGGCCAGGGGTAGGGCCTGGCTCCGGTGAACTTGCAGCAAAGGGCGGGGCTTGGATGACGGAGGAGGAGTCAGAAAGAATGAAGGGGCGGGCCCAAGAGATCTGAAAACCTGCGCGAACAGTGAGGCTTGCTCCCGAGAGTGGCCGAATGGGTCGATATGCCAGGCCACACGGGGGCGCCCGTCGCTGCCGAACGTCTCCTCCAGGAAGCGCAGCCCAAGTGTCATCTGGTCGATGATGGCTCCATAGTGGGTGGCCGCCTCATCGTTCATCACCCAGCCACCGTTGGCAAACTCTAGGCGTCCTGTGCCGGGAGGGGTAAAGTTCGAGTCAGTTGTCAGGGCCAGGGTTGCTGATGCCAGGGACGAGAAGACCTGCCTAAACGACCAGGCCTGAGAGGAGAAGAGGGGTCAGGGGGTCACTCTCAGGCCAGTGTTATAAGAGAGCTATGGAACAGAAGGCCCCCTTGCACAGCATCCTTTCTAGAGGATTCACTGGAGGTGGGGCCTTACGGATGTTTAGGAGTTCTCCAAAAAAGGGAAATTCCAGGCAGGTGCACATGGCATGATAAAATCTCAGAAGCCAGGGTGCAGAGATAGAAGCTGGGCTGGGCTTCCTCTTTTCACTTCCTGAGGGGAGGCTCACCCTGGCGCACCAGATCCCGCACGGCTTTCTGTGTTTCATTTGTCTGCTGGTGCCACCAACGGGAGAAGAAGGCGATTTCCACATAGATGAAGCGGCGGGCAGGATCCGCCAGCAAGGAAGAGATGACAGAGTCTAGGATGTACTGAACGCCCGCCGGCTGGATGTTGTTGTAGACTGTGGGCACAGGGGCCAGGCGATCGGGGACCAGCAAGCCAAGGGGACACTCTTAGACACAGAAGCCCAAGCTGGCTGTTGCCCCCACCCTGATTACCCGGGCCTGAAAAGGAATTTAAGGGGCTCTGAGGGACCATGGGAGTCCCGGGGGTCACTCCCCACCCTCCTCCACTCACTGCCGTAAAAGTACTGGTCCACCGTCTTGAGCCAGCCTACGTCGTCATGTGTGTGAGGCACCAGGTGCACATTCAGCATGTCTGGCTTCACCTTCGGGCATGTCTGCACAGGGACCCCAAACACACACTCACTCTGTCAGTAACCCCAAGGTTAAGAGGGAGGCTGCGGTGAGGGGTTGGAAGGATATATGGTAAGTCTTGATCTAGAAGCAAGTGACAGGTGGGGATGGGCTCCCCCAAGAAGCTCACACATAGTTGTGTCATAGATGTACTTCCCAATTGATAGAACTTCTCAGAGCACCTCTCGTTCGTGCCCTGGGGAAATACTAGTAGTAGCTAATGTTTATTAAGTATTTGCTAATACCAAGCAGCCACCCTGGGACCTGAGGGCAACATTATCTCCAGTTTTCAGATGAGAACACGGAGGATCAGAGAGGTGAAGTGACTGGGCCAAGGTCACACTGCCAGCAAGTGGAGAAGCCAGGTTAGAACTTCACGCAGCTGACTCCCAACCCTCAACCAGTCCCCACCACACTTACAGCCTGCTCATGTAAATGCTTGCAAAATCCACGTAAGCCAACCCGCAGAAGCAAGAGACAGACACAGACAGCCCCATTCTCAGACTAACACAGCCAGTCTCCTCAGTAACGCAAAGCATGAACCAGATCACACTGTCATATTAGCAACCATTCACTGGGCACCCACAAAACAGACCCACCCACACCTCCGGACCCTACTGGAGGCTTCACTACGGCTCTTGTACATTTCCGCTAGCGGGCCGCGCTCACCTTGTATCCCGCCGCCCAAGCGCAGGGCGCCGCTAGGAACAACACAAAGAGGAAGGAGAGAGGCGGGAGCGGTGGCCGCAGCGCGCGGGAGCTCGTCCGGGATCCTACCGCGCCTGGGCAGCCGCCAGCGCGAACCCTTGAAGGCCGCGCGTCACCAACCATAGCTCTGCAGCAGCCGCCACCACCGCCTCAGCCTCCCGGGGTTCCCCGGCCAGGCTGAGGCCGGGTAAATGCCCCGCCTCCAGAGCCCGACTTGGCCAATGGGCACAGGCGGGGGCGTGCCGGGGCGTGACCAGGTCCATCACGAGACCGATGCGGTAGCTCTGGGTACCGCTGGGGACGCTAGAGCGAAAGAAGGCACTGGCGAAGTCACACCCTCAGGGTGCTGCTTTGGCCAGTGGAGCCTTCAGCGTCTTATGGCCTCTATGTGACTGGAGTGCCCTATAGTGTCCACCCCCCCCCGCCCCGACCACCGGCGCTTAAGTCTCAGATTTTCCCGCGGATGCTGAGTTTGCCTTGGAGGTAGAGAACTGCCTAGGATTCTAGGGTATTCCATCGACTTTCAGGGCTATGGTTTGCAAAGGACCTAGCTTGGCTAGGAGCAGAGGTTAATGGGGGACCTCTTTTGTCCTATGGATTGAGACGTTAAATAAAGGAATTACCCTTACACTGCTGGGGAAGGGAGACATCCAGTCTTGTTCAAGAGATACCAGTGTCCTCTGGTGAGCAGTGAGAACCTGACAGGTAGGGGAGAACTTCCTACCTTCCCCAGTCCCTACCAGTCCATCCGATGTGCTGACATTACCCTCACACATCTGAGAAAACCAAAGCCCAGATTCCTTAGATCAGCAGAGCTATCTGCTGAGTTGTCAGAGGGCAGAGATCACGGTTTAGTCTCTGGCAGCTGGCTTAAGGCTTGAGTCTTGCGAAATAAGCAAATGAACCAACCAAAAGGCTCCAGATTGGGGCCCCACCCCAGGCCTGAGTGGGAAGGTGGAGCCCTTCCCTCTATTAGGACAAACAGCCACCATGCACAGGAGAGAGGGGTCGCAGAGAACAGCCCGAATGCAAAACTTTATTAACGGATTTCAACAAGAAAATGAGTGGGTACACCTAGAAACACAGACAGTGTCTCCCCTGGGAGCAGGAAGGGTAGGAAACGAAGGTGGGGATGGAAGGGGGTAGGCCCAGGGAATTCCTTTCTCTGCTCCAGCAGCCATGGGATCCCAGGGTCAGGGCCAGGTTCCCTCCATCCAGCTGCAGGCCCAGAGACTGCCTCGCCCAGGGAAGCCCAGCACCACAGCTGCCGGCAGGAGGCTGAGCAGCCACAGGTGAGGCCTAGGGCAAGGTGGCTAGAGAGGCCCAGGACATGACCCCTCTAGGCTGACATCACCAGGGGGGCGTCATGGGCTGAGGGTTCTGCAGATATGACATCACCACGGCAGAGATGGACAGCCTGAGATGGGAGAGAGATGTCAGTCCAGGATGGAGAGGTGGGGGTGGAGGGGGTGGGGGCGCTCCCTCCCCTCCCCCAGGAGTCCCTCCCTCCCCAGACCCAGCCTCACATGAAGCTACTCATCATCTGCTTCGTGTCCTCAGAGCTCCGGGAGTTGGCAAAGCTGATGAAGGAGCAGTAGACAGCGACCCAAGCACACCACTTCAGCTGAGAGAGGTGGATGGACGGGTGGGTTAGGTCAGTGAAAGGCACCCCAATGAGCCATTCCCCTACCGATTCCAAACCCAGTTTCACCTGGTGTAGCTCCAACCTTGATCCCCAGGAGTCCCTCAGTCTCAGGCTCCCAAAGTTAACTCCAGGTACCCAAGTTCTGGTCCTACTCCCTAAACTGCATCTCTGACCCCACCATGTCCCCTCAGACCTAAGAAGCCTGGCCCTTGACATCCCCCATCACCCTAAGGACCCCACCAAGTTGCCTTAAAGCCTCAGACCAACCTCCAATGTGCCCACCCTGACCCGGACCTCTGGATTCACGACAGCTCTGGCTTTCTCCACTTAGCATCACCCCATCCCTGCCCCCTTCAGTGCCAGCCCTGCTTCATTCTGAATCCAAGGCTCCCCACTGTCAGGCAGAAATATGGGGAAAGAAACAGCCCTGCCTACCTTGAGCATGAGGCCGCACATGCTGAAGATCATGCCGAGCAGGTTCATGTAGTCTGGTGTCGGATCATCCAGGGCTGGGTTACACTCACTCGGTGGGGGCTTGTACCTGCGGCAGGCTCAGAGTCAGGGGCACTCGACTTCTGCCCCGAGGATGGGCAGATGCTTCCCTGGGCCTCCAACCCACAATCTGAGACCCATCCCCATTGTTAAAAATAAAACCACAGGTTCAAAATGGAGTCATTTATGCTAGGCTATGCCACTAAACTGGGGCTTACTTCCTAACCTGAATGGAGCGTCAGCCTCCTCCAGAAATGTAGTCTCTGACATCTTTTTTTCTGCTTATGACTTCCTTGTCCTACCTTTAAAAACCTTTCTGTTTCTATAGCTCTTTAATGCTCCCCTCTACTTGTTAGACGAGATGTTGCCAGATTCATGAATTCTTCAATAAAGCCAATTAGACCTTTAAAATTTACTCAGGTGAATTTTGTTCTTCAAGTGATTTGGTGGCAGCAACAGGATCCAAAGTGAACCTCTGACATTCAGGGACAAGAAGAAACCCAAGGCGGCATACCCGTGAATCCCCTTCTGAGTTCACTGTCTTTCTCGCTGTTATCTGGAGGCCGTGGGCAAGTTCCTCTCAGTTCTCAGCTCTGCTCTTTGTGTCACGCTCCCGACCTAACTGGCTTTCCAGTCAGTTCCCCATTTGTCTGAAATCACTAGTTCCATGTTGGGAGTTGCTGGCGGTTCTGACTACAGTTCCTCATTTGACTAGAAACCAGGCCCTTGGTTCTGTTCCCAGATTCCTTGTTGGGTCGTGCTGGTGGTTTGGTCTGCAGTTCCCAATTTGTTTGGAATCAGTCCACAGTCGCCATGTAGGGTCCACTCCTGGTTCAAGCCTTTCTCCAGCCCCAGGTTGCATGTAGGCAGTCAGTGATGGTGTGCACAGGGCCTTTTTCTTGGACAGGCCACAGTAACTGGTTATGGCTGGAGTGTTACAGTATTCATGTCTGTCTGTCTTCCTTTGTGTAGATAAAAGGCCAGCCAAGAGAGATGGGAGCATCTCTGACCCCACCATGCCCTTTAATGAGTCTACCCATTGGCACACTTGCTTATTTTTACGACCAAGAACTATAATCTCAGAAGCTGTAAATATCTACAAAAATGGCAAAGTATGACTAAAAACTACCCAGAATTACAATGGCTGTCATGGGGAAGGTTTCCCTGAGACAAGACTGCCCTTGAAAGTGAGGGTTTCAGGACTTCCCTGGCGGTCCAGTGGTTTAAGTCTTCAAGCTTCCACTGCAGGGGTCTTGGGTTCTATCCCTGGTTGGGGAACTAAGATCCTGCCTTCCGTGGGACATAGCAAAAAAATTAAAAAAAAAAAAAAATCCTCAACCAGACAAAGCTTGCAAAACAGCAACTGTACTTCCCTGGTGGCACAGTGGGTAAGAACCCACCCGTCAATGCAAAGAACACAGGTTCCATCTCTGGTCTGGGAAGATTCCACATGCTGTAGAGCAACTAAGCCTGTGTACCACAACCTCTGAGCCTGAAATCTAGAGCCTATGAGCTGCAACTACCGAGCCTGCGTGCTGCAACTACTGAAGCCCCATGCCTAGAACCTGTGCTCCACAACAAGGGAAGCCATCGCAACAAGAAGTCCGCAAAGAGTAGCCCCTGCTCACTGCAACTAGTGAAAGCCTGCACAAAACAACGAAGACCCAATACAACCATAAATAAATAAAAATTTTAAAAAAAAGCAACAGACCTTTTATAAGCTCTTCCTAGAATCTTCCCTACACCTACTGACTGGTCTATTATTCAAACATGTGAAACAAAGATGAATCTGGCCAACTTTAAGGCATGCTTGGAAGCCCTCCTCCTATGGTGTTTCGGTTCCATATGAGTCACCTAACCTGCTCCAGTGGCCCTGTTTGCACAGAGATTACCTCCTGAGATTAATGGATTGATAAAAATACAGAAAGAGGATAGGAGACCACCAGGCTGATGGAGCCAGTGACCACACTGAGCACTTTGAAACAACCTTAGAGTAAGACCACAAGCAAAAATTCCCCAAGTTGTTGGTCTTACAGTTACAACAGCTCCAAGGCCAGAGAGCTAAAATAACGCCCTCCTAGGGGTCCATCCAGAGAAGGCAATGGCACCCCTCTCCAGTACTCTTGCCTGGAAAATCCCATGGATGGAGGAGCCTGGTAGGCTGCAGTCCATGGTGCCGCTAAGAGTCGGACACAACTGAGCGACTTCACTTTCACTTTTCACTTTCACAAATTGGAGAAGGAAATGGCAACCCACTCCAGTGTTCTTGCCTGGAGAATCCCAGGGACGGGGGAGCCTGGTGGGCTGCTGTCTATGGGATCACACAGAGTCGGACACGACTGAAGTGACTTAGCAGCAGCAGCAGCAGCAGCGGTCCACCATCAAAACGCTGGCCCAAGGACCATTGTCTCAAATGTAATCAACTGGGACACTGGAAAAAAGATTGTCCTCAAAGGTCTTATGCAAATTCTTCAACTTGAGTTCATCTTCATCTATCTCCTCAGTATTCTGAGGGATTCTCTGGTAAGCTGTTATCTGTAATCCCCTTAAACAGCCAAGGGGAAAATAAAATTAAATCTAATGGGAAACTTTGCCAAATTCTCGTTGATACTTATTGTTGTTCAGTTCTGTGACTCTGTCAGACCTTATCTCTGAATGCACCTGCCTCACACCTCTTGTTCCCTCTTTAGCAGGAATTCTCAAGATTGTAAGCCTTCCTTTGGTCTCTCACAGCCAAGCTATGTGCTGAGACTCTCACATGTTTTCCTGAGATGTTGTTGTTGTTCAGTCACTAAGTCGTGTCTGACTCTTTGTGACCTCATGGACTGCAGCATGCCAGGCTTGCCTGTCCTCCACTATCATCCAGTTTACTCAAATTCATGTCCATTGAGTCGGTGTTGCTATCTAACCATCCCATCCTCTGCCACCCCCTTCTCCTTTTGCCTTCAATCTTTCCCAGCATCAGGGTCTTTTCCAATGAGTTGGCTCTTCTCATCAGGTGGCCAAAGGAATGGAGCTTCAGGAACAGTCCTTCCAATGAATATTCAGGGTTGATTTCCTTTAGGATTGACTGGTTTGATCTCCGTGCAGTCTGGAACTATGTTTTCACCCCCACTCCCTTAAGATGACAACTCCCTCAAAGTGAAAAAGAGGTTTCCTAACGGGAAAAACCTAACAAAAGTTCAGAGAGAATTTCTACCTCAACTTGTACAAATGACTCTGGGACTCCTGACTGAAAGACATTCTTTTTCGCGATGACATAGCCCCAGTCAATCTATTTAGGTAGAGCTCTCCTTTCTAACTTAAAAGGGCTAAGACATTTTGTTTCCAATGGGGACTCCACCTTAAAATTTCCTGACCAACATGAACCAGATCTTTTATGTTCTTACAATCTGTCCTTGACAGAAAGGAGGAAGAATTCCAACAAAAGTCCCTGAATTTAACTGAGGTGCCTCAAAGTCTCGGGGTTCTTTCTTTATTGGGGCTGCACCAGATCTTCACTGCTGCGCATGGGCTTTCTCTAGTTGCGGCAAGCCGGGACTACTCTCTAGCTTCGGTGGCTTCTCTTGCTGCAGAGCGCAGGCTCTAGAGCTCCAGCTCGGCAGACCAGTGCACGGGCTTAGTCGCCCTGCGGCATTTGGGATCTTCCTGGGCCAGGAATCGAAATCCTGGACCACCAGGGAAATCCTCTGTGTATTATTTCTAATATTGACATTGGAAGAATAAAAAAAAATACAGAGCTTATAAAGATTCAGAGACACATAACTAAACCTCTCCCGCAGTTACATCAAATATCCTCTGAAGCCTAAAGCCACACGAAGCCGCATACCCACAACAGAAGACCTAATGTCCCAGGGGTAATTAGGCCTGCCTGATAGTAGTCACCACAACATGCAGATCCTGCCAGTCTGGAAACCTAATGGGTGAGGATGGTGATTTGTCCATAACTTAAGAGCTTCCCCGCTACTCCAGCCCCAGGGGAAGGTTTCTTTTGTTTTTTTAATTTTTATTGGGAGTATAGTTGATGTACAATGCTGTGTTATTTCAGGTGTACAGCAAAGTGAATTAGTTATACATGTTCATATAGCCACTCTTCTTTCGATTCATTTCCCATATAGGTCTTTACAGAGCAGTGAGTAGAATTTCCTGGGCTACAAAGTAGGTCCTTCTTGGTTATGTGTTGTATATACAGCAGTGTGTATGTGTCAGTCCTAGCCTCCTGATTTATCCCTTCCCTCAGGAGCTTCTGCAGGCTCAGCAGTAAAGAATCCACCTGCAATGCAGGAGACACAGGTTCAATCCCTCGGTCAGGAGGATCCCCTGGAGAAGGCAATGGCAACCCACTCCAGTGTTCTTGCCTGGAGAATCCCATGGACGGAGGAGCCTGGTGGGCTGCAGTCCATGGGGTCACTACAAGTCAGACATGACTGAGCGACTTCACTTTCACGCATTGGAGAAGGAAATGGCAACCCACTCCAGTGTTCTTGCCTGGAGAATCCCAAGGACGGAGGAACCTGGTGGGCTGCCGTCTATGGAGTCACACAGAGTCGGACACAACTGAGGCAACTGAGCAGCCAGTATTCTTGCCTGGGAAACCCCATGGACAGAAGGTCTAGCAAGCTACAGTCCATGGGGTCACAAGGAGTTGGACCAGACTAAGCAACTAAACAACAACCAGTACTTAAGGGTTATTAGCAAGTTATTCCCCTCTTCCCAGTTGTCCCAAACCTGGAACACCATTTTGTCATAAACTCCAGCAGGCTCAAAACACTGTTGTGGATCTTTTTCAGCCTTTGGCAGTATCCCTATAGATTCCAACAGCTGATGTCTGTCTGCCTTAACTTGGAACAATCAGCAGCAAGCCTGGACACTCATGCCTCAAGGGTTCACTGAGGCCCCTTCTGATTTCTCCCAAGTGCTCCCTCAAGATGTAAGGACCCACCAGTCCCCAGGAAATGAGCTCTTTCACAAGAGGTAGATGACTACTTGCTGTGCTCAGTAACCAAAGAGGCATCCACAAAAGATTTCATTTATCTGCTGAAAAGTGAG